TGATAAATGTCTCTGCTAATCTAACAGTGTGATGTCATCCTAAAGAACCACGATTCTTAGTCTCTTTTCTCTTATTACCAGTAGAGAGACCTTAGTAAAGTCACTCAAAATCTTGGATTCTTTATGATTCTTTATCTACAAAACCAGGATGTTGAAACAAGATGTTTTTCCAGCTTGTAAAACTAAGTTTTTATAAGTCCTACCCCAAGGATGCACTCAGAGAAGATATAGTTCTATTTACCAAATCTTTGAAAGCACCTGAGTATTCTTTGAATATTGGACATTGGCAGAAGAAAAAAATATTAACAGTTCCCACCCTAAACCAGATCTTCAACAATGTGGGTTCATTATTGAGGATGAAGACACAATAAATAATCCAATTCAGCTCTAAGTTTTTAAATTACAATTCAAAATACCTTTCTTTTTTTAGTATTTACTCTGTAAAATTACATTTTTGTTACTTTCTGCTGATACTGAAATATAATTACTCATGTTAAATTGAAAGTCATTTTACCTTGTTTCACCAATGGAAAAAAGGGCCAGTCATGGGTTCCCACACTTCAAACATGCTTCTGGGAAATGCCTACTCGGTGAGCCTTAGTGTAATGAGAACTTTACTAGACATTTCCACCACTCTCCATCCCAATGCCCCTGGCCTGGGCTCTGAGACTTCGGTGCTCTCCAGGTAAGGTGGAATTGTTTTCTGACTGGTTAGGCAAGGCCTGATGGAGATTAGGCCATCTCAAAAAGAGGATGACTTCCCTCAGCTGCCAACTCCCCACCCCTGCAAAAGTACTTTGACAACTTGCAGTCACCATTTCCTCCAAGCAAAATCTCTCCTGTTACACACCTTTCCTTTTAATAATCATAGTAATAAAACAGGATTCTAGAACTTAGACGCCATCTTGTTTTTAAGGCTTGCTCAGGGTTGCAGTTTGTTAAGCAAGAGCACGATGCCTAGAACACAGGTCCTAAGATTTAAATTGGAGCACTTTTCCTTGGCCACACTCCAGATTCCAACACCGTCAGGCAATCCCTTTCCTTCCAAACTTCTTCCTATAAAATGCTATATTTCCTATAAAATGTTCACTCCGTGTCATGGATAGACCTTGCTGGTTACATGACCAGTGGTCACTGCTACTGTCACATGTAGTTGAGTTGAAATAACACAGATACCGACCCAAGAGAGACAGACTCTCAAGAACTGTAGTTGATTTGTTCTTTTAACTCCAGAGAAAGAGAAATATGTTACGTAAAATATTCTTGAGCTCTACAAATTGAAATGCAAGGACCAATCATGTAGACCTTACTATAGTTGAGAGAACAGCAATTTCCAAAAGAAAAGAAGAGTCTATTACTAGAGATCCAAAAGGAGCTGGGGATGACGGGGTGGGCTTTGAGAGACAGAGTGGTGAATATGGAGTGGGTCTAACACTGTCCTGGTCCAGGAGCTGGACAAAAAGGCTTATGGAGTCCTTCCTGCCATCGGAATCAGTGTAAGACAAGGTGTGAATGTGAAGAATAGTGTCATTCCTTGATGTTGGTTCATATTATTAATCTTAAGTGTTCTTGAAGAAAAAAATAGGTACAATGAACATTATCTGCTAAGGCTTCTTACTTTACCGGCTGGAATACGATATCACAATTGACAAGTTCATCATAAAAGACCTTTTAGGTCTTTCACAATATATTTAAGTGAAAAGGGGAAAAAAACAAATAGGTACTTTTAAAATCATGATTAAATATTGGATAGTAGAAATCAGCTAGAAACCAATCCCCATATCTAATAAAGGTAGTATCTCTACCACTATATAAGGGAGATGGAGTGAATCCAAATGATGGAACAGAACAACTGTTCAATGCCCTGAGACCACCTGAACACAGCCCGGTGGGATTATTATTTCTTGGGAAGCTTCACAAATAAAAGGTTATTGTTGAATCTTGTTTCCATGACTTCAAGCAGTTGCTTATGTTTTGAATAGCTCTGTATGCATCTAACTTTCTAACTTTCCTTTTAAAATATAGAACAGCTGCTGGTCTGCTCATATGTTATGCATAAGCAGCCCACAAGGGACAAAGCCCTCCATTAATATGTTGAATTATTTTTAACACACTTATATTTCTATCCTGAATCATCATCCCTGAGAGATGGCAAATTTCCATCTTCCCAGCTGGGGGGAGCACCTGCAAAATGTAAGCCCAAACTGTGACACATCTGGTATCAAAAAAATGATCTTGTTTCATCTGGCCAACAGGCTAAAATATCAAGATCATTGAACAGAAACAAGGCAAAAAGTTAACTGCCTCTTCTATGTAGTCAACGCAGATGTCTAGTTAAGCTGTTTATATTGTAAGCACATGTGTATGTTAACAGAGCACAGATCCCTTTAATAAGCCAGAGATGGAATATAAACGCAAGAGAATTTTAAAGACCTGAATGCAATAATTCAGTTCTTTTTTATCTTCCCATAGAAACTAAATTAGTTTCTGCAGATCTGTATTATCTTTAAACAGATGCCTGTAACACAAAAATAAGTTATTTTAATAAGTTATTTTGGTATCTCCAAATTGTTTATTTCCTTTAAACACCATATTCCACGTTTTTTGTATTTTAATATTTAGCTTACACTTACCATAAATTACTTGCACATGACTTAAACCAGGTGTCTTGATTTGTGAGGCTTCAAACCACTTTGTCCTGAGACAAGAATTGAGTTTGGGTAGTTTGAGAGGTTATCTCAGGGAGTGGGGAAAGGGAGCCATGGAAAGGAAAGATGCCAATAAGTGAGTGACTTAACGAGGGGGCCATCTCTGTGGGCACCTGGTGCTCAGTTCCTCTGGGATCCTCAGAAAAATCCTGTGGAACTCAACTCAGAAGCATTCCACCAACCAGTGTAACTCCACATCATGTTCAACCACAAGAATAAGATCCTAATTAAAATGAGTTTTATATATATACATATATATATATATATATATATATACATACATATATATATATATATATTCCATGTATAATCTGTCAAAATACATTCTACTTTCATGATTTCTAAAAAGAATTTAAAATTTAAAAAAGGAAAAGAATTCCACCAAAAGCCCAATATCTGGGGTATTTATCTACCAACTCCCATCCCTGAGGTAAGGGTCGACCACCCACCCCGAACGTCCAGTTGGTGAATGAGCTCTCTGATGCTGGAAAAAGCCCTCAGGCAAAAACAAGAGAGAGCTTTGATACAGGCCACTGCCAGTAAGTTAGAAACATCTACTGTGGCACCCAGTAAGCTTATGTGGCTAAAGCGATGTGCAGGTGGACTTCGGCATCGGCTGGACAAGGTCAGTCAATGCTTTATGACCTTGACAGCTGAAGTTTATGTTATTTCCTGGCTTAATGGCTTCTTATCTTATCACATAAACCTCTTTCTTGACCTTTTACTCTTCATTCTCCCATCTTTTTATTTTTTCTTCTCTTTTCCTCTCTTTTACTAAAATTTTCTTCTCTAAGTGTTATTTGATTAGCAAGTTGGGCACCACCATGTCTAAGAGATGTGGTACTGATAGACAAAGATCCATAAGGTACTATGAAAAGTGTGGTGTCGAATTGTTGACACCAGGAGCCTGATTCTAGAGTTCATCACACCAAACTACAGAGTACTGGATGAAATGGGTTGCTCTTCAAAGGTGAATGTTCAGGGGAGCTAATGAAGCTAAAGCTTCAAGACTCCTCTCTTACATCAGCCCCTTCCAAGGCCCTGGAAGGGATTCTAGCTATATATTCACATAGCCATATATTTTTGTCAAATTTGAAAAATTCATATATTTTAGCTGACTTACAGGATCACTCCTTCCTCTCGGTTTTCAGCATCATACTTTTCCTCGTGTTCTGTAGCACTGGAGTAGGTCACAAGCATTTTTGAGAATCCAGTCTGGGGAATTTGAGTTAGGAAGGTATATTCAGTTTGGGTTTAGAAGGACGTATTTATATGGTTATCAGTCTCTTCTATGTGTTATTTGAGCTCCTGTCTGTTAAAGGAACAGCTTCTAAAAATATTCCTATCACCCTCTCTGTTGATCTTATCTGATAGCAGGTACAAGGACAGGATTCTTATCACAATATAATGTCCTATAGCATCTAGTGCTGGATGTGAACCGGGAAAACAAGTTTTGAAATAGTCATAGCCAGAAGCTAATCTACCAAAAATTCTTCCATACACCAGAGATATAAAATGGTAATCAGAGGGCTTGGGTTTTAATCAATTCCTAAGTCATGAATATACTTGATTATGCAGCAGGCACAATTACAAATGCACCATACCATGAAAATATTTTGCATAAATTTTACAAGAACTCACTAGAAACAATTCTAACTATGAGAAGCGAATTATAATAAAAATATGTTTCAGATAATACCAAAAGCTGTAACTTATTGAGAGGAAGAAATAAATTTCAAATGGAAATAATGGAGAGACTTGTGGGTTAATTTGCTATCAAATTAGTGAAGAGGAATGAATCATGTGAGCACACCGGGATAAGATGTAAATGTCCTGCTACTTCAGTACAGAACACTAACATAAGTGAGAATAACACAAAACCAAGAGTTAGACACTACCCCCTGACTTACAGGTGTGTCATTTCAAAGAGTATTAAAATTAGTCCCTGGACGAGAAAATTTGGAGTGATCCAAACTCATGCAGATCTTACATGATACAAAATTGATAGATGTTGGAACTGCCATATAGGAGTTGAGCACCCTTAGCCTTAAGCTGTGGAGGTGTGGAGACTGGTTTCCCTTGCACAGGAAACAGGTGGATCCACAGGGGAGCTAGGCTCTGGGAATGGGCATTACCCAATAGGAGTGGGCTGCCTTCTCATTCCTTTGTAATACTACCCTTTACCTTTTTTGGATGGAATGTTCTATCTAATGGTTCTCTTCAATAAAAACCAAGGTTCAGGGCCTGTCCCCCCCTCCCTCTCCCTCCCTCCCCCCAACCTCCAGTCTCCTGTGTTTTTCTCTTGTGCCCCTTGTGGGAGCTTAAGCTGGAGGAGGAGGAGCCATCCTGAAAAGCCCCAAGAAAAAAGGTATTTTCTGTGTCTGTGTGATTTGTTCGTGCCAGCCCAATTCACCTGAGTGACCCCAGTTGTGAAGAGGTTTCCCAAATTTCCAAATTTGACAATTTTTAAAAAGTGCATGATGTTATAATGATTTATGAAGGCAGAAACTTCTAGAAACCATAAATTAAAAAAATGAAAACCTCAGGCTGGGGTTGTGGCTCAGTGGTAGAGTTCTTGTCTCACATGTGTGGGGCACTGGGTTAGATCCTCGGCACCATATAAATAAATAAAATAAAGGTATTATGTCCATTTACAACTAAAAAAAAGTCAACCATACAAAAAGAAAAACACAATTATATATCTATTCTCTCTATTAAAAATATATAGAATTGTCATCATACTATGCAGCCAAAAATGCAGGAAAGGAGTTTTACAAAGGCGTGTTAGGCAGCTTTCAAAAAAAACGTTTGTTCCCCAGACTTTGTGACTTTTTGCTATATTTGTCAGCTTTTGAAATTTGTAATTTGTTGTGTTTTCTTTTGATATTTTAAATAAAAATTCAATTTTGTGTCTAATTTTACAATTATAATTTTGTATTCTTTCCCTTAAAGTGAACCACCAAATATGTATAAGCTTTGTTCAAAACTTGGGCACATCCCTGGTAGTAAGACCAAAAAGCATCCCTGCTGCTTATTACATATATGGAGCTTTCGTGAAAGTTAGAAAAGGACACTTTCTTAGTATATTCTGTGTTGCGAAATACTTGACACTTTATTGAGAGAGAGAGATATCTCAATTTTATAGACTGAACTTCCAAGATTTTGTGTCCCCACTTGTTTGGCCTCTGGGAAGATCTCTGGTGCTGGGAGCCATTAGCCAAGTAGGTATGACAATTTCCTTGCCAGCGTACCCCATGTTGCAGTGACATTGAATGTACGTGACCTTGCTCAAGGACCAAGGCAGATTAGGGTGTTCCCGGTTTTAAGATAATCTTGTTTAGGGCGTTCCCAGTTTAGGTTCCAGGTTTAAGGTTTAAGATTATTCCTGCTGGGAATAGGGCGTATCCTGCTGCCTGAGTTCCCCTTGAGTTCTCACGGGATTCAGACAGTATATTTTGGGAGATAGAAGCCCAGTGGAGGTGGATTTGGGCAGAGAATGTGGATTTGGGCAGAGAACGTGGATTTCCCCAGAACGTGATTGTAGACGGCTGGTGTGAGTTCGGGAATAAAGAGTTGCTGTTTGAATCTACAAGCTGTGTGGTGGCTCATGATTGTGTGCCCAGCCAGACTGCGGCACTCTGGCTATATTATAACATGGTAAATGCATCGTATTGCAGGTATGTGGCACAGTAGTGTGGAAGAGGTCAAATGACCAGAAGGAAAGCAAAAGACTGCAGAGAAGACAGGCTTCACTCTCTATAACAACCCTCATTCTCAGGAGATAATCCACCCTTGCAAGTTTCCATGAAACCAGCATTAATTCCTTTAACCAGCATGCTCCTGACCCAGTTGCCTTCAATTAGCCCCTAGCTCCTAAAGTGCTGAGAGCCATTGCCAAGTAGGTATGACACATGGCATGACCCAGGTCATTTGCAGTGACATTGCATGTAAGGTGACCTTGCTCAAGGACCAGGGCGGATCCAGGTTTAAGGTGTACCCTGCTGGGAATAGGGCGTATCCTGCTGCCTCAGGCGCACCCGCTCCTTGAGTTCCCGTTGAGTTCTCGCGGGATTCAGAGAGTATTTGGGATTCAGAGCCCGGTGGAGTGTGTGGATTTGGCCCAGAACGTGGATTTGCCCAGAATGTGTGTGTAAAGTGCCGGTGACAGTTCGAGAATAAAGAGTTGCTGTTTGAATCTACAAGGTGTGTGGTGGCTCGTGATTTTGTGCCCAGCCAGACTGCAGCACTAAAGGTCCTTTCAGTACCATTACTTTGGGCCCAAGCTTTAATTTAGGTTTGAAGAGAACTAACTGCTTCCAAACTATGTCAGACACTTAATCTTGGTCTTGGAAAATGAAAATAGTCAGAAAATGGTACAGAAGCTGACCTTATATTTCCACACCTGCCATCAGCTCCTATAGCCATCATTTCATCTTGTTAATAGCAATTGTGGATTTAAGAGTAGTAAGTTCTGACTCAAGATCAAAAGTTGAAAAATATACATCAACACTCATGTTTATAGGTGAGTTATTCTTATAGCACTTCAATGTTGTATTTTTCCTTACTTGTCTCTTACCTGTCTTCATTTTCTCCTTGTATCTATTGACTAGCCATTAATAAGAAGGAAAAGACCTCAGAGAGGTTGATCTGAGGCTATCCAAACCCCTGATTATATCTCAGCAACTGGATCCAACCTTATATTTCTAGTAGCATTCATTTTAATAAACATTTCACTGGGCATCCACCATGTGCCAGGTATTGCACTAAGTACTAAGTGAATGAAGATAAATACATCATGGTCCCTGGACTCAGAGAACTTACAGTATAGTCAGAAAATGAAAATTAATGTTTTGCGTTCAGTTTTTTAAAAACGTCAGCACCATTTACTGAGCACTTATTATTCATGAGGTGCTTCCAAACCATTATTTCATTCCTCACATTCACCCTATGAAGAGGGATTACTATTCATCATAGTGGTGAAGAAGCAGATTCGATGACTTGGTTAGGACCAAATATCAAGCAGGGTTGAATCAAGACAGGAAACAAGACCCATTCTGTCTCTAAAGCCTGAATATTTTCTTAGGAGAGCAAAGCTCAGGGTAATTGATTTTGGTGAGGGGGCAGTGAAGTCACTCCTGGGCTCATCTCTAGGGGAACCAGATTTCTTCAAGTGCAGCAGGTGTTTCAGCAGAAGAGGACTGAAAGGATAAAAGAAACTGAAGTTAAAGACCAGGCATTGTAAAGCTTCTAAGCTGCAAAGCCTGAGTTAAAATGTAAAAGACCAGGTATTGTTAAGCTCCTATGCTACACTCAAAACCTGAAATTCCTGTAGCTGTTAGGACAATTCACGGGACTGCCCAGTAGATATTCCCCCTGACCATTTAGTTGTTCAATAACCTGGGCCCTGTGCAGTTTGGCACATAGGCATTCAGGGCCCAAACCAATCAGTTTGAATGTACCCCCCTTCTTAGGACTGACCTATCACCCCCGCCCGACCTGTTCCCGCCAATGAATGTACTAATCATGTTCGAGAATTGTTGTTTGATTTTCCCGCAGTGTATGGTGATTTGTTGAAGGGGACTGTGATGTATGTAAAGTCCCTGCCCTCCCTAAAAAAATGTATATAAACCCTGTTCAAGTTGTTCTCGGGGCTCTGGGCTGCTCTCCCTCCTTGAGTGAGCACAGAGCCCCAGCATGCTGGATCTTCAATAAACCCCCTTTTGCTGTTGCATGAGTCGGTCTCTTGGTGGTCTCTTCCTCCGTCGTTCGCCGGTCCCTTACAAGGACCTATGCACAAAGGCAAGCATTGTAGTCAGCTTTTTCCCTGCTGCAATTAAAAGACCCAACCAGAACAATTGTAGAGGAGAAAAAGTTTATTTGAGGGCTCACATTTCAGAGATCTTAGTCTATAGAAGGCTGGCTCCATTCTTTGGGACTCGAGGTGAGGCAAAACATGATGGCAGATGTGGTGGAGGGAAGCAGCTCACATGATGATCAAGAAGCAGAGAGAGACTCCACTGGCTAACTATTTTACATATTCTCACACATGAGCTTAAGGGGGACACCTCACATCCAAATATAACAACAGGAAGCAAAAAACAAGTAACAGGGCGAGAAAACTTATAAACTTTGTGGTTCCTCATGCTCAACCAAGATCCTGGCTCCTGATATTGAATCATGTGATGACAAATCACTTCATCCATCAGTTTTTTTATTTCCCCCAAACTTTTTCCCTCTCTCTCTTTACTTCTCTCCTTCTTTCATTCCTTCCATGAGCATGGATATGATGGTTGTTGAAGTACCTTCCCTACTTGTAAGAAACTTACAGGTTTTTTGGGGAGGGGGAATGAATCAAATAATCTCACAATCGAATGTGATTTGTAAATTTCAACTGTGCCAGAGACTACAAAAAAGGCATGAGGTACTACATGAGCCTAGGGGGAAATCAAATGACCTACTTAGGCATCCCTAGAAAATGTCACTTGAACTATCTTTAAGATACATACAAAATAACTACACACACACACACACACAAAGTAGCATCCAGAAAGGGATATACATATGCAAATTCTCTTCAAAGAGAGAGAGCATTTTTTGGCACAGTATTACAAGCAACTGGAATATCAGTGTGGTTGGGGCTGAGGATGAGGCTGGATAGATATGTAGAGACCATTGAAGAAACTGTGCCTTTGTTTTTAAAACAATGGGAAGCTATTTAAATATTTTAAGTGGGTAGGTAATGTTACCAGATTTTCACTTTTACAAAAAAAAAATCACTTTCACCTGGAGATAGGTTGGAAAAGGGGTTAGGGTAGATGCAGGTTAGAAAGACTTCAGCAGTTCAGGAGAAGATGGCAGGGTAACTCAGGCAACAGTGTTGGTGGAAGTTCTGACAGCATTTAGGTGCATCATGCAGGAGCCAGGAAAGAAGGAGATGGTGAGGGGAGTGAGCTGGGTGAGGGAGAGTCCCCTCTAGCTGCCTTAAGATCTCTATAGTAGGAGGTCCATGAGTCACTTGAATTCCATCCAAGAACAGGCACCTGGGATCCTGGTGCCTTGCTCAACAATAACAGCTGGGGCACATCCTATAAGTTGCAGGAGAGTCAGCAGTGAAGGAGGACAACTCCTTGCCTTTGCCTGCTGTGTCCCTGCTCCTGGTCCCTTGATTTCTCAACATTGCCTTTCACTGGGAGAGCAGTTCCAGAATGAAGAACAAGAACAGTGAGGTTGGGACATCTCACAGCAAGACTGATGATAAGGACAACTTGGACACACCTCTGGACCTTTCCTCTTCCACTGACTGGGGCAAGAGAATGAGAAGAGGCAACCTGCCCAAGGAGTCTGTTTAGATTCTGCAGGATATGAGCACCAAAAAAATGCCTGTCCCTCAGAGGGAGAAAAAACAATATTGTCCCAGCAAACACACCTGTCCACGCTACAGGTTTGTAGCTGGTTCATCCACACCAGGTATAGGCTTCTCCCTGACTTGCTGAGAGAGGATGGCCAAGATTCATCATTTCTTGCTCTAGAGCCAAGATTTCTGAAGCTAGCTGTACATGTGAGAAATAGAAAATCTAGTCTATTTTCAAAATACAGTATTCAGCTTTAATTGGGTCCAATTGTAGCCATTTGATGGTAGCCCTTTCCTTTGCCCACCCCAATTTTAAAATTAGCCAATCACATAGATTGTACCCCTGTGCTCCTCCAATCAAGGCAATTGGCAGCACTGCACTAGGTATATAGAGAGGTGGACTGCCCGCCCAGGAGCACTTGCTAGTCAGGTTCCAGTAGGTAGGGAGATGTTCTGGAAGAAGTAAAAGTGTGCCTTGCCTACCCACTTTCAAACGTGTTTGATTTCTTGTGGCACTTCGGTATTTCTAGGCTGCAATGGGCATTGAAAACATCATGCCAGCTCTAGAGAAGAGCCTATTTTATTCCTGTACAACTAGACCAAACCTAACCCTGGGGAGGCCACTGTCTCCAAAGCCATTATCCCTGGATCAATTTTGGCTTGTCCATCAGTGGTCTGCCATGCTACTCTAACTGCTTTGAAAGATGTGCTTTTCTCTTTCTGCCATTGGTTGATGTGGGACAAATCACAGATATACAGCAAATGGCAGCCAGCAACTTTACAGCATCTCTCTCTTATACCCAGAGGACACATATAAATCTGGATTGAGTACAAATAAATACTCAGGAGTGGTCTTTTCAACACTCCTCTCTCACTCCACCAGACCTCAAATAGGATTTTCATAGATTTCAGCTTCTGGTGGATGTTATATCCAAACAGACTGCAGAGATAGGAGTTTCAGGCAAAACTATGGCTTAACCCCTGCTGTAGCAAAAGATTTCTCAAAAATGTTGTCATGCTTGCTGGACAGTGAGGGCAAGATATGAATTGAATTTTTAATATATTTTATTAAAATTTGCACATGGGATTGCTAAAATGAAGCTTCTTGTTAGTGAAATGTCTTCAATGGAGTACAATCAACACAAGAATTATTCATTTGTAGAAGCAAAGAGTTACTTTTTTGAATGTTTCTTGGTAGATTATTCATAATATGAGATGGCTCTCAGTATCATGTAATTTTTTTTTCCTCCTCTTCTCTTTTTTGTTGGTGATTTTTCAGAATGTGCAAGACTTAGAACATATAGCATCATTTCTTTCCCATGTGGAACAAGATGCCCACATACTGTCTAATTAATTTCAAAATACTGCCTAATTAATTTTCAAATTCTTTTCAAACAAGTGTGAATCTAGTTGATTGATGTCTTTTTCATAATATTTTCTTTATCAAAAAAATGTATTAGTGGAAGACAAGAAAAGAAAGGAACAGATTTAACACATTTAAGAAGCAGAATCAAAAGCTTAATGATGGATGAGATGTGGAGCATGAGGGAGAAGGACATGTCAAGAATTAATGTGGGTTCTGGCTCCCATTATCTGTTACATCAGCAGTGGTTTCCATGAAGAGATTAAGGAACGTACTTGGGGCTCCACCACCTTCAACAGATGGCTTCCAAGGTCACCTACTTCTCATCTACATCAAGTGGGTGGGGGAAAGCATGGAGGATTGAACATGAGGACTTTGCTAGGGGGCAGACCTGAATGTTGCTTATGTCACTCTGCTCATCTTCTTTTGGATGTGCTTCATTGTGAGGAAGCCTGAGAAATAGATTCCAGCTCTGTGTCCAGGAAGAGGTGCAAACAGACCTGGTCATTAACTAGCAGTCTCTATCTCCATGGATGAAGTAGAAAAGGAGTATATTCTTTACTGTGGCACTGCAAGTGTTCCCCAGGAACAGAGAACAGTTTTCTAGTCCCCAGACTTGTTTTCTTTTTAGTTGTAGATAGACACAATGGCTTTATATTGTTTATTTATTTTTATGTGGTGCTGAGGATCGAACCCAGTGCCTCACAAGGGCTAGGCAAGTGCTCTACCACTGAGCCACAACCCCAGCGCCCCCAGACTTCTTTTAGCTTCACTTTTCTCCTTATTCCTTTGGTATATTTCTATCATTCAAGGATAAGTAGAGTCCTTATGTCCCGCCCCACTTGCATATATTCATTTTTACCAAGAGAAAATTACCTTCTCAATACTATTTACTCATTTGATAGGTAAATATATCCTATTGTCTCAGAAAATAATACTCTGACCAAGTATGACAGAAATAATCAGATTTTTTTCCTTTTTAAAATAAATTTTAACTAATGTATAAGAATCAAAATCATGCATATTAGTGGGGTAACAGGTGATGTCTCAATACATATATACATTATTTAATGTTTTAGAAACTAATCATTTATTCTTTAAAAGGTATATCAAAACTGGGTTTCCAATTTATTAGAAAAAATGTTAGTGTACAAATGTGATTACATTTGTATAATTTCTAATAACCATATGAAATAGTTTAAATGCATAATAACGGAGAATGGCTAATTAAAATTTGGCTAGTCTGTAGGTAGAATATTTGGCAGTAATTAAAATCATGTTTATAAAGAGATTTTTATAATAAGGGATGTTTATGATACAGTAATACCTGTAAATGCAGGAAGTAGTGTCAATTACATAAAATATACGTGTGTGTGTCTGTACTTTCTTATATCTGAAACTTTATTTTTACAATGAGTTCCATGAAAATTTTCTTGTAATTCAAAGCAAACTCTAAGAAGACATAGGAGACTTGGAAATATGATAGGTAATTTCAACCAGGTCATATTTAAGTATTCCAAGTAAAGTGGACACTAAACTAAAGCTGGAGGTTCAGTCCAAAATCCAGGAGCAATATTATGATTTGAGGTCCCCCATTGTAATTAAAGACTTGTCACCAGGGTGCTGCTATTGGAGGTGGTAGAACCTTTGAGAAATAGAGCCTAAGAGAAGGCCCTCTGGTCATTAGAGCATGAGGTATTTCTTTTGAGATCACTTTGATAGTTCTCAGAAGAAGGCTGTCATAAAAGGAACAAGCCTTGGCCACTTCCACTCTCTCTACCTCTTTGTTAAAGATATAATCAATCACCTGCTTGTTCCCATATACACCCTCATCATTACCATCTGTGCTGTGGGTGGGGCAGCCCTTGCCAAGCCTGCACTATGGCCTTTTGGATTTTCAGTCTAAAATCATGAGCTAAATAAACCTTTTCTCTTTATAATAAGTTAGTTGATCAAGTATTTTGACATAGTGATAGAAAGATGACTATAAAAATTCCATATGAATGATTATACAACAGTGTTTTCGTATAGACTGCACCAGTCTCATTAAATAAGAACTTTAACACCTTGGTGTCATGTGTATTGCCCAAGGATGGGCCATCCATGCTGGCCTGACAGGCAAAATGAAAACACAGCATTCAAGCCAGAGGGTCAGGCCTGGATAGATAAGGTAGAGTAATAAACCTCCTGGTAAGAGAAGAGCTAGGGGACAGGCCAAATCTTGGTTACCACACCTCTGGGGATACAGGAGATCCCCTAAGTCAAACAATTAGATGCAAGAGGCAAAAGCTGTGGAAACAGATTGGAATCGCACATATTCAGTGAGGACCAACAGCAAGGATTCAGGTGCTAGGAGGTTCATATTGATTGATTTCCTAGGATGAGATTTAAGCCAATGCCTCACTTGAAGATGGAAGGCCCACTTTTTCTGGCATGATTTTAAACATCTTACAGGCATAACTTAGTGTCATCAAATTTTCCAAGAAAGACATTTTTTAATGCCTAGATATTTGAATAACAATGATGATAATAGCAAACCTTTATTGAGCACCTATTATAACCATACACTGTGGTCTTGCCTTGTGCTAAAAGTTTCATGTGCTTTACAGAGAATCTCATTTTATGAGCATTTCCTTCCTGTTTTAAAGATGAATATTTTGAGCATCAGAGAAATAAGAGACTGCCTGGGTTGCACAACTAGAAAGTGGTAGAGCCAGATCATTAACCCAGGTCTGTTTGACTCCAGAATCTGTAGTCCTAACTATCTCACTACTGTCAGTGCCTAATTATATGTGGTCATTGATTTTCTAAAAAAAAAATTATATATATATATATATATATATATATATATATATATATATATATATATATATATATATTTCATTGAAGCAAAAACAATGCTTCAATTGGGCTGGTAGACACCATGTATAAATAAATTACATTAAGGTATTTATTCCCTGTTAAAAGAATATTACTAACAGAAAACTATAAGAGCTAACATGGGAAGGAAGGATATCTTTTTAGCACCCCTAACATCACACAATAAGAACTGGAGATGACTCTTCTCCATCCCTAGCCAAGGTAAATAGGGAAGAAATTAAAATTTTATACTAGAGATAGCTAAGGAAGCCATTAAAATTAGTGTGGGTTCAGGAAGGACCTAAATAAATAAATCATTAAGCAATTAAGATTTCTAATTAAAATGGAAAAGACAACACACAACCTCTATACGATACCTCTTTGGATCACTGAAGTACACCTCTTTAGGCCAGACACACTGTTAAGTATAAAATATAAATATTTAAAAATCCCTACAGTGCAATAAATATTTCTGGGGACTGGAGAATGTATTTAATTGTACAAGACCAAACCATGGATAAAAACTGTGAATACTCATTTGTTTGCTTCTCAGAGATTAATGTAGAGCTGTTGAATATCAGTTGCACCTTAACGTGCTCAGATTTTTGTGTTTTTCTTTTTTTAATTACTTAAGATTTGGCACATTTTCTTTTGTTGAGCGAAAACCCAAGCAATTAACTGTGAGGAAAGCTACAGATACGCTAGGGCCACATTACCTTAACAGAGTAACTGTTCACACATCATCAATTGCACAGTCTCCATCATTGGTCCTGAATCTAGCAGGCTATTCCAAAAGCAATCATGGCAGCTTTGACACCTTCCATTCACTTTCTGAAGAGAAGGGAAGGTAGAGGAAAAGACAAAATGATAGGTAGGTTACAATCTTAAATAGCAATCTTTATCCTCATTCCTAAATAAGTTTCAAATACTTTGTGATGAAATTATAAAAAGAAAATACAACAAACAATACTATGAATGTCACAAAATGGAAATGGGAAGTTTCATGGCAGGCCATGATCATTTTGGAGGAGGGTGAAATTAAACATCTGCTCAAAGACACCCGTGAAATGTTGTTGTCATTTTTGTTGTTGTTTTGTTGTCAGTGGTCTGAGTGCCAATCTGAAGATTCCATTTTGCAATCTCTGAACTTATACCAAGGTATCCTTTTTATTCAATGATGGTGCTCAGAGGTGGGTGGGACAAGTTTCCATGTCAAATAAATAAATGTAGAAGATAAATAAAAAGAAGAGAATGATGTAATGCAAAGCTATTTAGCTTTGCCAGATACTTCTGTAGCAAATAAGAAATCCCCGCAAGTCAAATGCAAGTCCTATTATCTTCCCAATAACTTCAATAACGAGTTATTTGGTGTGGAAGCAAGCTTGGGCCTCGGTTTTGACAGTTTTATAGTCCTTGGTCAAACTTTTCAACAGCACTTGGGCAGGCGTGACTAGGCAGCTTGATTATACATACTTACTGACTTTCCACTTGCAGATACACAATATTTACTTTTCAGGGTGAGCCTGTAGACTCTCTGACCAATTAGGCCACAGATTCTTGTGCCTCATGAAAGCTAAGCAAAGGCTGTGGATGTAAAAGCCTCAGAAACACACGCAGGCTGGGATTTGCTCAATGTGTCTTCATATAATCTTCACAAAAGACTGCCAATGTCCAGTAGCCTTTTACATCATAGCCACTTCGGTGTAAAAACACTGAAAGTGTCTCTCAAATAGACAGTTTCGTTCTGTGGGTTTATAGAGAACCACATTCAGGCAGCAGATAGGATCAAACTTCAGAAACAGATACAAAGCTTTTAATAAACCTTCTAAATCCTTCTGCTTTCCTTGTCATTTTTTCTGTCATTCAAGTTCCTCCCCAATCAACATTTCAACTTTGTAAGCCAACATTTCCATAAGTGATCCTCCATTCTAGCCTAATTGATCTCATGGTCCTCTAAACAGGAATGTGTATTCCTTTCCCTCTGCCTCTGCTTGAATCGCTGATCCACTTAGGATGTCATCATCCTGCCCTCCTTATTCCTCCTTTCCCCATGGTAAATCTAAATGCTACTTAAATTCCACATCCACCATGAACATTGCTTGGCAACATGATCTCTTCCTTCTCTGTGATCCTATGGCACCAACTGTTTTGTTTATACTGCGGTATGACCATTCTGTAACATTACATAACTTCTCATTTATGTGTGCTTTACTCTCCCCAAAAAATCGTTTCAGCCACCAATGACAATTTCTACTTAGGTGGCTACCATACTGAAAAAAAAAATTCTACCCCAAAGCCTGTATAAATTTAGGTTACCATTGTCCTTATATTTAATCCAGGCTCAAAACCATGGAATCACTTTTGAGTCTCCTTCCTCTTGCCTATTTCCCATATTCAGTCACCAGAATTTGTGAATTCTAGCATTGTTCTATCTCTTGCAACCATCCGCCTTTTCCATTTCCACTGCCAACACCCTTGTTCAGGCCTTTATTTCCTTGCCTGGACTATTTCAAAAGTCTCCCACTGGCCTCTCTGACTCCAATTTCTCCACCTCTAATCCAATTTAAACATACCAGCCAGATTAATCTTCCTAAATACAACTCTGACTCACATTACTTCTCTGTGTAAATACCTTCAATTGCATCCAAAAATCTATTGAATAAACTATAAATTCCTCAATCTGGCAGGAACTGGGCCCAGTGTAGTGAATGCTGTGGTGGGCCACTGTGATCCCCCATACCAAATAGATTCATTTCCCCAATGCCAGATGAATCCCTCTCTAGAAATTACCCTGAGCAATGGGTGCTCTTTGGACCAAGTTTTGTACCCTCCCCAGTCTCAACCCACATTCAATGACTGGTTGCTACGAGGACACAAGGCCCATCCCCCTTGCATCAATTTGGGACATCTTCATAGGTCTATGCCAGCTTCTGAGTGACACATGTGATCATCTTTTGAAAATTCATTTCAGTTCAACTTCTCAGCCTGCCTTCTTTATTCCTTTACAGTTATTGATCCTAAGGGCATTCCTCAATAAATTTCCTGCACTAGAATCTTCATCTCAGAATTGGTCTTCCAGGATATAATGGACGATACTCAACCACCTTTCTTTCATATCTTTTACTTTTGTCTTCTATATATCCTACACTCCAGCAACTGGCTTACCTGACATTCCTTCAAAATACTATATACATTATCACTTATTTATTCACTCAAAAAAAAAAGTATCTACTGATTACCTAAAATGCTCCATATTTCAAAAAGGTACTGGCTTAAAAGAACATAGACAAATAAAGAGGCTACTAGACTATAGTACGAGCAGTTGCTATGGTTTAGGTATGATTTGAGTGTATTCCCCAAAATTCATGTGTTGGAGGCTTGATCACCAATGTGGCAGAATTAAGAATTTATGGAAGCTGTAAGAGATGAGGCTAGGTGTAAGATAATTAGATCATCGGGGGCATTGCCCTTAGAAGAGATAATGTGATTCTTGTGGGATCCCAGTTAGTTCATGCAAAGGTGGGTTATCAAAAAAAGAGCAAAACTGGCCCTGCCCCAGTCTCTGGCTTCCTGCCTCCTCATGTGATTCCTCCCTCTCCTATGCATCCTCATCATGTTGTGATGCAATCTTGGATTTCTAGGCTCCAAAACTATAAGCTAAATAAACCTCTTTTCTTTTCAAGTACCTAGCTTCAGGCATTTTGTCACAGAAACAGAAAACGGATTGATACAGCAGTGATTTCTCAGCTGAGATCAGAGGAAGAACAGGGAGAAGAGTGTGCCAGACATGGAAAAGTCTTGGAGACAGGAAAACGGTTGAGTTGATGAACTGGAGGTACATTTTTAAATGGCTAATGTAAGGGAAATTGAGAGGTGGTAGCAAGAGAGTTCAGCAGGGCTAGCATAAGAAAGACAAGTAAGTCTTGTGTAGGATCTGGACATCATCCTTAAGGCAAGGGGAGATATCACAGAGCTTTAAGGAAATAAACAATACAATGACCAAATCTATGCTTTAGAAAGATTCTGTAGAGAAAGAATTAGCTGGAGTAAAGTTTGATGGCAGATGACTACTACAGTCCTCCAAGCAAAAGATTATGGTGAGCTACCAAAGGAGATAGCAATGAAGATGGAAAGACCTGGACAGATTCAAGAGACATAAGAAAATATAAAGGACATTATGATTTATTATACAGAGGATGATGGGAGGGGAGAGTCAAGATCACACTGTTTCTGACATATTTCTTAAATAATTAGATGGGCATCATTCACTGAAGTAGGAAACCCAGGAAGATGGAAATCTGGAGACAAAGATGAGTTCGGTATGCAACATGCAGAACTTAAGATCTTTAAGTAAGAGTTGGATACATGGATGTGGCCAGCATTCAGTTTCGTATAGGTCTGAGCATCAGGAGAGCAGCCTGGCTGGAGGCACAGGGGAGCTACCATTAGCATATCTATGGTCATAGAAAACTGAGGGTGAGATTGAAAAGAACCCCCTGAAAAGAAGAAGGAAATCCTGCAGAGTGTGAGGTCACAGATGCCAAGAGGACACTTCAAGATGAGATACTTCTACAGTACCAAACAGGAATCAGACCAAATAAGGTAAAAACCAAAAAGTGTCCTCTGATTAGAAACACACTTGTGCCTTCATCCAAACCTCCCCCCAGTTTGAAATGTCCTTTCCCGCAACCAGAGACCACAGAAACATTTCCATCTTTCAAGGATGAGTTCAAATTACCTCACATTTGCATGGTGATTTGCTGAAGATCATCACACATGACCTCATTTACTGACAGTTAAGATTTTGAGGGTTAAAACCATCTATGTATCTTGGCATCCCTTCAGCTCATTAAAATGTGGATGCTGTAGGTTCAGAAAAAGAGCCAAATCTGTCTGGGAAAACCTCACAAAAGAAGAGAATCTTAGGATGGGAAGAGCAAATCTACTGCTTGTCCTTGTCAGCAAGAGGGCACATGTGGGACAAGCCTACTTGACAGTCTGTCTTCAGCCTTATAAGAAAACTTAGTGAATGAGATCGCAATGACAAGACCATATTGACTTTTCACTTTGACATTAATTTTGTCAACGAGTTTCGTGTTAGATGTGGAGCAAAAACGCTCCATCTCCCAGAGCCTGGCTGACCTCACTTACCCTCAAAAGGGAGGCTGGAAAGAGTCAGTGATAAGCAGGCATTCATCTTCTGACTTTTTTTTTTTAACTTCTTCTTCCTGGAGTGTAAACATCTAGAGAGGAAAGCCTATTTGAATAGGTGCAACTGCCAACTTCACTTGCCCTCTTGCATTTAATGAGCCTATTTTGTTTTATGGGTGCTTCAAAAGAACTGACAGAGAGGAGGCAGCTACGAACAGAAAACATGAAGCAACTTGCTGAGCCCTCACTGTGAGGTCGAAGGCCTGTTATGCCACAACCTTGCAGACCTACATATTCATAATTCCTCTTTCAAACACAGACCAAAACCCAAACTAGAACAGAAGAGTTCCTGCTCTCCTTCAAAGTGTCAACACCAGAGAGAGTATTTCAAGGTAGCTTGAGGGAGTTGCAGTCGCCATCACAATAACAATTTGAACTGTAGTAATGTGGTACATTTTTCAGAGACATTCAGCCCAGATAACCAAAATTTGCTACACAGCTGCAGGGACAGGTATTTTTGTGCCCTTCCCCCATCCTTGCCTAAGCAACATTCTTCTTAAGTCCTCAAGAGGCCTTGGCATTCCGAACATTAGCAAATATTTACTCAATGACCAACAGAACACCTTGAATATGGCGGGTCCTTGATGGTGGTGATGTTGGACATTGGTAACAAATAGCCT